TCTTCTTTGTGGCAGCCCCTGAGATACATGGCAGTTACAGTTCTCCTTCCCAAATACTGTGTGCAACCTCTGGTCACCTAGGATAATTTCTGGTTGTTTACTAATACCACCCTTGAATTTTCTCATAATCCCAATCAAGTATTTACCAACATAATCCCAATCAAGTACTGGTGTATCTTTTATGAGACCAGCCTAGGTCACCTTTTGGCTTCCAGGATTGTAAATAGGGAGCCACGTGAACAGATGTGGTCATCCTTCACAGCTCTGGCTGCCTTTTTGTCCAAGGGACAAACACAGCATTGGGCCATTATGCTGCAAGCTCCACCCTTTGGGATGTGCATCTCAACCTTGAACACCCCTGCAAATGCTGCAGTGAGAACAAACTGCTCCATGCCCCAGAGTTACTGTAAGAACAAAAACAATGTTTTCCCTCCTTTCTTTGCAGATCTGTAAAGTGGGTGCCTTCTCTTGTGGACTGAGCATGTGCAACCAACATACCATTGTGATCTACGTGCTTTGCATTGTTTTGTGGGTTTCCTCTCGCTTGTTCAGGGAACGTGTGAGTATTTGCAAGTCTAGAAACATGCTCGGACAGCTCCTTCCCATAATCTGGCCCACTCTGTGAACAATGGGCAGTTCCAAATAACAACAAGCAGCAATAATAACAAACAGAGGAGGATACAGAATTAATAAAAAGCCTGCCTCTGTCTGTTTCACATGTAGAGATGAGAAAAATAACTGCAAGGGTGTCCTGTCTTTTTGCGTTAAAAGGGCAGAGTTGGAATTTTAAGAATACAAGTACTTCTCCCTTAACAACCAAAATTGAGACTGGCAACCCCATCACTAAGTGATAGGGTTGTTAGATAAGACATCCTTTATGCAAATTTACTGCATAAATTTGCATAAAGCTTCTGCATAAATTTGCATAAAGCTCTATTGGTTCTGCTTGTTGGAAGCTGGCTGTGAAGCTCACTTATGGTAATCATGTGATGATCATAAGCACCCACAAAGTGCCCAAAAGTCAATTATGACACTGTGGGATGCTGCAATAATCATACATGCAGACCAGTCATAAGGATACATTTTCTGCACTATTGTAACTGCAAATGGTTGCTAAACAGGGCAGTCATTAAACGAGAACTATCCGTATGTGAAAAAAACAAGAAAGCCCAGTTGCCTTTTGGGACAGATTCTGTTTTACAAATCAGAAAATGAAAATGAAGAAGGCTCTCAACAAGTCTGCAAGAGCAAAATTGAAAGCCAAGATCACCTTTCTCTTTCCTAAAATGTTTATTGAGATACTTAGCTTCTTCATCCTCTTGTTGTATATCTAGTGATTCCAAAGTTGGTCTTTTTGTTTGAGGTTCAGATCCTCTCTTGAAATCAGGACCACTGGATTCCCTTTAGCACTACTCTGCAAGTAATGCTTCTTGTAAATTACATTTAATGATTACTCCACTTCTATCCTTTGGTTGGTCCCTCTGTTGTTCCACAAGACTAGTCGTGTGCTTGTGATGACTTGCCATTGATTTTAACAGAAAAAAGGTGGCTTTCTCCTTTCTACCACCTCAAGAATTCTTTGAGTATGAACCTCTCAAGAAAGGGAATGTGAGACCATTATGGTAATATCACTGTAAATTCTACCCTGAACCCATAATATTTAATAATTTAAATTGGCTAACTCAGATTATGTCCCTGTGTAATCCATAGTTCTCAGAAGATTAGTTGCCCCTTTGTGGTACCCCTAAGAGTAGGCCCATGGGCTTCCATGAAAGTGAGGGTGTCAAAATCAGCAGGATGGAGAGTATTGTGATTGTAATCCTGACCCTTTTGTATGTGCATGTGATATCACTGCACATACAAAAGGGGTGAAACATCCATTACAATGTCTCAAAGATGCTTTTTCAAAAGGCAACTGGACTTTATTTTTCCTTGAGATGTTTCGCTTCTCATCCAAGAAGCTTCTTCAGTTCTAACTGAATGGTGGAAGGTGGAAGGATTTATATTCTTTGCAGTTATCTGGCCGTCAGCACTTTTTCAGAGAGTCACTAAGGCCACTTGGAGGTTTATCTGTGCTCTCAGGGTCACCTGAATAGTGTAAATGGGTGTGGAACCTTCTTGGAACTGCTGAAATTGCTGACAACCGTGATCTGGATGACTGAGACTCTCCATGAACATCCATCACAATGCCATTCCTGCCACTTGCTGATTTCGTTCCCCAACTACAGATGCTGCTGAGAAAGTGTCAGCTCCCTCTAAATATGGATGTTCCAATTGGTAATGGCCTTTAGAAGATCAGCACTAGACTTTTAAGACATTAGATTTTAATTTAATTGTTGGGGAGGGGAGCGTTGATGAAAAACCATCCAATTTTTAATCATTGCAAAGTGGTTTATCTCCCCTTTGCAGCCCTTCTGATATCTGGTCCTGTCATGGCTTAACTTCAGTGGCCAAAGGTGCCAGTGATGGGATCCTTGGGAGCCTCAGATACTATTTGTTTCAGTTTGAAATTGCATCCTGCCATGCAGAAAGGATCAGGGTGATGTCATCTTCCAAAAGTAATCCACGGAGAATGCCATTTTTAACATCATGTTTTGAGACTCCACATGCAAATTAAGATATCAGCTCTACATGTCAGTATATTACTTGTTTGCTTCCTAATTTAGAAGATTTGTGCACTGCAGTCATCCGACTCAAAATATTTGCAGTTCCAGTTAATATATTTCAAGACAATATGGCAAATTTAGACATAACACTATAAAAATGTATAAGTCAATCTTAAGTCCCAGAAGATGGGATCATCTACTAGAGGGGTGTCAAACTCGCCATGTCACATGACATGTCACGACGTATCGTGACTTTCCCCCCATTGCTGTAGCTGGGGTGGGTGCGGTTTCAGCATGACGCATCCGGCCTGTGGGCCGGCAGTTTGACACCGCTGATCTACTATCTTGCCCCAGTATCTGGGGGAAAAGTCATCTTTTTAAAACTTTCCAGAAGATTAGCAGGATTGGCACTAACTGAATCTTAGCTATTACTGATTTCTCTCTTGCTTGCCCTCTTGAAGTTGCAGCAATGTAATGCAAACAGAGGACTCACGCAGTGTTGTAAAATGTTTTTTGGTGTAGGAGCTGACCCTGAGCAATGTGCTGAAGTTAAGTTTCTGCTTCTTGGCTGGTTGTCTGCCTTATCTCTACTTGCCGATCTCTGCCTACCTCAATAAAGCCCGCTGGACCTGGGGAGACCAGACAACCTTTAAAGGATTTATCACCCACCTTCTCCGGGAAGAGTATGGCACGTTCAATCTGGTAAATTGAGTTCTCCTTTTAAGAACAAAGTTTCTCTTAAATACTAAACCTGTGTGATATTGCATCTTTTCAGCTCATAGGTCAGGCTCTGAAAGGCAGAAGGGATTTCAAATTATTGCCATTTTGTTATTTGTCACTTACAGTTTAATAGTCCTTGCACCTGTTCCTTAGGATAGCTATAATCACTTGGTGACTGGAGAAATCATTTAAATCCCCTCCAACTGTTCAAGTCACAGGCATTTTTCATTTTACATGAAGGTTAATACAACCCAGTGGCAGACTGGAGCTCTCTTCTGGCAGAGGTACGTGGAGGCTGTATAGATCTGTATCATGTCTTTCCTCCTACCCTAGGAATCCACTTTGTATCTCATTGCCAACCCTCTTAGGTGGGCTGGGCCAAGGCAGGGCAAATGGTCACCAGGTCACTTGAAAGGTGGACCTGAGCTTCCAATAAACTCCAGTGGTTTATTAAACTGCACTGGCTCCCTGTATGCTAATTGTATAATTCATATTAGGTAGGTACATCTTAACTGCTTTTATGTTTCGAGCTCGGTAGCGATATTTTAAACTTACTACAGTACATAATTGATGTGTAGCTTGTCCTTGAAGTGATCAGAGGAACTCAGGCGTTGGACAGGATTATGTTTGGTATTAGCATTTCCCAAAAGGGGCGTTTGTGTGTTAAGGCCAGTCTGATTGCAGCAGTCAAGCCAGCTTCGGGTGTATCTGGGCATGAATATTCAGTGGATCCTCAGTTTTTCTGACTTAGGACTTTTCAGGGAGTAAAAATGACAGCCTTTGGCCATGTGCAGTTGGCAGGGTTTATTTGCATGACAGCCAGAAAGTATTTCAGATAATTTCTGTTTGAACTGGGATGGTGCTTGTAAGCAGGAAATGGTTCCATCAATTTTCCTGTCCCCTTATTTGTCTTACTGGTAGAGGTTGCAGTCTTGTACAGTGTTGCTGTGGTTGCATGGGAGTTCATCAGTTTTCATTAACCCTATGTGGCTATATACTTTTATTGACATTAATGAAACCCAAGTAATGAAAATCTAGAACTCATTTTCAACCATGTAGCTGTCCCATAATGATTGGCACATGTGATGCCAGGTCTTCAGGACTATAAATAGGTATATGTTGGGTGGATGGGTAGGAACTAAAGGAGGTGAAAAAAAAATCCTGAAACTGTCGAGTCAGAACTGAGCATGTTCATTATTGACTGTCTGAAGATATAGGGGGTATATAAAGGGGAAAGGCTGAATGGAAGATGGAATGACTGGAGCTCTGAGCAGGAGTCCTTAGCTGCAATATTTTGCTGCAGAGTCCTTGATGCTGGTTTGAATAATGCATTGTTTAAGTTAACATTCCATCGTGTGGTTGCAGGCCAGATAGTGACCAAAACCCTTCTGGCTTAGCTTGGAATTGCTTGTTCCTGATGAAATGCATGGATATTCCAGAATAAAGATCTTGGGTGCTGGCTGGGTTAACCAGAATGGATTGTATAGCTAGACTTACACTGTATAAATAATCCTGATTTTCTTCTTTTCTGCACAGGCAAAATTGGAAAATGGATCCAGTATGACTGATGTATTGGTGTAAGTGAATGCAAAATGTATGGATTATAGTGTAATTATAAGTGTATCTGACGCAAACATTTCCTGTTGTGTTCAGTGGAGCTTGTTTGCAGTAAGTGGGGGCAAGATTGCAGCTTTAATTTGCCCTTTAGGCAGAGGAAGATTTAAAAGGACTTTGGGGAGAGTAAAGTCTTGTGATCTTCATCCTATATTCCTTTTTGACATCCCAAATGTTTCAAGATCTTAGCAGAAAGAATAAAACACATTTTAATTGTATGCATTTACAAATAACCATTATATCTCACTTTCCGTTAAAAAAAATCCCTAAGTGGAGTATAATAAATAAATGCAAATGTACTTATGGATTAAAAAAAGGACGGATGCAATAACAAGTTGGAATGAATTTAAGGGTGAACTTGTGAAAGTGATATGGATGGAAATGACTATTATCCTGTGACATTGTGAGTTATTTGAATGTGATAGCTGGTGGAACACAGCCATTCCTGAGTGCCAGATTAAAGCAAATGTGGAAAGAAAGGGAGAACAGGCCCTGCTTGGGTGTGCTGTTGGACTGGATCTTAGAATGAGGGCTCAGCACTTCCTATCCAGGCACCCAATCCCTGTCTGATCCAGTTATTTTACTCTGCATTGTGAAAGCATCCATTTGCCAGATGCTCTGACGTCTGCTTTTAGCTCTTCCGCAAGAGATGACTTTATAGTGTGTGGCCCCCTTCATCTTCCCATAAACTTTTGCTATCTTTGGTTGCCAAATACTCTTGTTCTCTGGCTTTCTTGCAGTTTTCAGGTGACCCACATGAAGATGGAACTTTCCCTCGTTGTCCAGGCCTTTGCAATTGTGGCATGTGTATGCTGTGCAGTGAGGTACTGGGGTTTATTTCAAGCTTAAGTACGGTATTTCCAAATTGGATATTTATCTGGAGACCCAGAAAGTTGGATTGAACTAAGTTTCTCCCTGACATATATTTGTCTGGCTCTGCCTTTTTTAGATGATAGATTTTGGTGGAAGTGATTACATATGTTTATGCACACATCTACGCTTTTATGTGCATACAAGTGTGTCAGATAAATTTATTGTACAAGACAAAGTCTTCAGGATTGGTTTCCTATAGAGTTGGTAACCCTAGATTAATAAAGTGAGGGAAGAGTTTGCCCATGCATGCAGATAGATGTAGATTTATCTGTTCTTAGATTGGAGTATGGGATCATCTTCAATTCAGACTCAATGTTCTTTTTGGTAAATTCAGTAAATTTGTTACATTCAATTATTTTTTTTAAAAAATTAGCTTTTGAAAAAACGTGTTCATTTATTTACTTTAAATCAATCATTCCCAGCTCGTGTCACTGCCATAGTTGGGAGTAACAGAAATATAGTACAAACATACCTAGAGGGCACTAAGTTGGAGAACAGCTGTGCGTGATTTTATTTTTCATGATTTGTTCCAGTTACTATCACTGGTGTTCACCTCTTCTTTTAATTTGTGTTATATGTAGAATAATGTAAGTAACGGGCTTTATTCAGTTTGCAATTTCTTGTTGCATGTGTAAACTGTCTTTATAAAGTTTTCAAATTATATTCTTTTCTCCTCTTTAGGCCAAAGACAGAGAAATCACAGTTGATTTGGCTGTTTGCATCAATGTTATTGACATACTCTTTCTTCTTTGCTTGGAGGGCAAATTTGGATATTTCAAAGCCCCTGTTTAAGGGGGTGGTGAGTTTGCTTCATTAAAAGGGATCATTTTAATTTAAAAACAAAAGTGGGATTCTGGAAGGAGGTACCATGCATTTTAGAAGCATACTTTCATTTTACAGATTCATATTCAATGTTATTGTAAACATCGTTCAAACATTGTTGTTTAAAAGCTGGAAACACATAAATAAAAAGTACTTTTATTCCAAGCTAAGATATTTGCCTCTTTGGCCTCAAATGGCCTCTCCTGGCTCACAACATTTCACAGAGGTCTCTGGCAGAGAATGCTCCTGCTTTTTGGTCCTCTTAGTGGGAGGAAGCTGGAAACCAGTTGGAAAGTGGTGTTGTAAACCACCCAGAATCACTTAGGTTAGATGGGCAGTGCAGAAATTTAATAAAATAAAAACACCTGTGCTGCATGACTAGGTTTCATCCTCTTCAAAATCCATAATCCCCTAGAATAGTGTTTCTCACCTTGTCAATTTCTGGGTTTGTAGACTTCCACTGCCAGAATTCCACTGCCAGGATGGCCATTTATAAGAATTCTGGCAGTTGAAGTCCATATCCCTGGTAATGGCCAAGGTTGGGAAACTCTGCCCCAGAAGCACCATATCCTCAGAAGCTGCATTCACAGGCATGGGAAATATTGGGAAAAGTGCAATAAACCATCACTCTTCCAGAACAGGACAAAACCACAATATTTTCTTCAACAGGTTGAGCGATTCTGGATGCAAAGCAATGCAGTGATTGTCGTTCTAGCTGGCTTTGGCTTCTCTTTACTCTTTTTTCTTGGTGAGATATTTGTCGGAAACAGCAGAAGGATTTACCATTTGGAATGGCTTCTGGCAGCTGTTTTTGTTACTGCTCAAATCTATTCCAATTACAGGTAATCAACAGGGAGGCAGCAGTTAATAATGTTTGGTGGACTGATCACTAATGTCCATATTTTTTTTCTTCTCCATTCCCCCAAGTTGCTCAGGGCAATACCTACGTAGAACATAGAACTTCTACTATCCTCTGTTATCTCTATAGGTTGTGGTAGGCAAAATTTTACCCAAAAGTTTCTAGCTGGGGATTTGATTCTTGCACTTCTCTATCATATTCCTATTTTTTGACGATGCTAAGGACAACCAGTGTAAGGTAACCCACTGAGGTTAGGAAAGAAACAGAATGTTTTGGAAACAAGAACAAATGGATGTTGTATCTTGGGGAAAAAGCAACTAGTCTTTCTGTTTTGCACTTACAGAAAGAGAGGTTCAAATCTCACACAGAGAGTTTTCCTTTAAAGAATTGACTCATCAGTGAAAGCAGGAGGTTTGCTTATTCAGTTTCTGAGAGTCTGCATCCTAAGCCTTTGTATCCTAACATTAGCTCTGATTAATGAAACTTCATGTCGGTCTTACTTTCTTGGCAGTGTTCTAATGCTAGGGGCTTGGCATGGTAGACGTTTGGAAGAGCAAGCTGTTGACATGGGTAAAAAGGGCTATCTACCCTAGGAAGGATTCCTAGTCATGAAATGGCTACCATAGGCAGAAAAAATGTGCAATTTATCAGCAAGCAAGTAGGAGAAATTTCTGTATCTTGGTTATTTTTGTTCCTAAGTAGTTGGGTCTATTTCCAAACAAGATTTTGGACTGTCACCATAGCTTTTTAAATCTTTAAAAAATGAATTTTTGGTTTTTGAATTTCATTTTAAAATAAAGTGATGATACAAGAATGTTGGTGCTTTGTTTTCCGCTTGAGAGGGGGATTGAAATCTGGTTACACAATGCTTCAGGTTTAGCACTTTATCTATTGCAGCACACTTGAGGTATCTGATGGCCCATTGTTACCATCAAAGTATTTTCAAGTTATTCCCTTGTGCATAGTATCCTTCCTTTCAAAAGCTGCAGTTGATGTAGCTACCTGGGGATGGACTGAAAACAAAATATTTGCTTGATCGGTTGACAGATCTCTTTCTTTGTTTTTATTTTCCCTTTTGAACCAGTGTCTGTGACCAAAGTAACAACAATGTTGTTGACCGGTTTGCCATGAATCTTTTGTCCTCCATGCCTCCAGATGCCATAATCTTGCTAAGAGGGGACCTGCCTGGGAATTCTCTTCGCTACTTGCATCATTGTGAGGGCATAAGACCTGATATCACCTTAGTTGACCAAGAGGTCAGTAGAAAATAACTTGGTATCATGGAATGATTGCAAATCAGAAGTCCCCATTTTGAATTTTGCTTTTGAAGTCCCCATGGAAATACTAGATACAAGATAACTCAGTGTGTCTTAGCAACTTTATTCACAACTGAATAGAAAATCAGCATAGGATAATGCTGTCTCTTTTGCCAATTTCTATTCTACCATATTGCATCTGTTCTGGGTCATTGGTGAATTGTGTTTTTTCTGATTTATGACTGTGCTTCTTGTTACAAGACCATTATTGTGCAACTAACTGGATCCTATAGAACTGAATAATTGAAACTAGCCTCTGGGCTAGTTTCTTGCTTCCAAAGGAGGAGGGGAGCTGGCAAAAACAAAAGGCAGGTTCAACAGCTGTCAGTCTTCTTTGAATGCTGCAGTGAAGGAAAGCAGGGATGTTGCACCCTACAGGAAAAAATGTAGAATATTTTTAAAAGATATTATCAAAACGTTGATAGATGGGGCAAAGGCTGGGGAAGAAATGGTTATGGTGGAGGCTGGCTAGCGACAAAGGGAAAGGAGTGTGCCCACACCTCTCAACAGTTCCCAAACTCACTTCCAATCATACCGATAGGTTTTTGCCTTCAAGAAAATAGGTAATAAGGTCTGGTGACAGTTTTGCAGTACTGCAGGCTAACTCTGCCAACAATCTGGAGTTTGATCCTGACAGGGCTCAAGGTTGTCTCAGCCTTCCATCCTTCTGAGGTTGGGAGAATGAGGACCCAGATTGTTGGGGGCAATATGCATTGTTTACATTGTAAACCACTCATAGAGTGATGCACATGTCTAAATGCTACTGCTGTTACTATTTTATTCAACTTTTATTTATTAAAATATTAAATATTTCTATTTATTACTAGTAAATGCTACTCACCTTGCAGAGGTGACTCTAGGTCAGGGCTCCCCAACCTTTTGTGTACCAGGGACTGGTTCCGTGGAGAGAGGTTTTTCTGTGGACCAGAGAGGGGCGTGGTTTCGCATGCTGCCTGCATTCCGCGGATGGGGCTTTGCTTGTTCTGGCATGCCCGATGACGGTCCACAGACCTGGGGTTGGGGACCCCTGTTCTAGATGACTTGCAGTCATACAATAAAAATATGATATAAAAATTAAAACAATAAATTTAAATTCAGTTTTCATTCAGTTTTAAAATCACCTTGAGTCTTTTGTTAGGCAATGTCAGAAAAAGAGGGATAGCATGACTATAACACAAATACTTCTTAAAGGGATTTAAGCCTGTTCCATTGGTAGGCTGGAACGAATGAAGAACGTTGCCTTGCGGGCGAAGACCATGATCTAGCTAGAGTGTGATCAAGAGAGGACAAGGCTATAATTACAGCTGCCTGTTTGCAATACCACCATGGTCACTTTTGCTAGTTATTGCCGACAACAGGTGCCTGCCTTCAAGGAATTTATCCGTGTCTAAGCCAGCATTCTCCTTCTTTGCATAGACCAGAGATGGTTAATGGTTAATGGTTAATTTAATTTGTATACCGCCCTTCTCCCGTAGGACTCAGGGCGGTTCACAGCATATTAAAAACACAAATACAATATACAAGATACAAAAAATCATACAAAAATACACAAAATAACCCCACTAAAACCTAATTAAAAGCCAAATATTGATTGCTGTATTCCCATTAAAATTACTTTTTAA